ATTTTTTTTCAGTAATTTATCAAAATATTTAAAAATGTTTGCTGCATAGTTAAAATACGCTACGCGTATTAAAAAAAAATTGTTTTTTAGGGGGGAAAAACATAAGGCGCATTTTATTATTTCATTCAGAAATAGGCCTAATGCCGACGTGAAATGTTTACAAACATTATAACAAACACTGTAAACATAGCTAGGCTATTTTAGTTCCCCTCACTCCACAACAAATCCTTTCAATTAACAGTATTTGGTTAACAATCGGTTAACGAGCGTCGGTTAGGAAAAATAACCGAAATGAACATCCCTAGTATAGATGTAAGCAAAACAGACAATCATCTTTTCTTGTAAAACGTGACAAGATCGCAAATTCAAAAGCGAAAGCATCCGAAGCCCGGCTTATAACACAGAAAAAGAGGAACTTAACTCCCGTTCACAAAATTCAAATCACAAATAATACTACTAATGAAAAAGAACGGGTTGAATGTTAACCACTTTCGTTTCCATATAACTATAAACTATGATAAAAGTTCATCAGCATGCATTGATTAATCCCATGTTGTAGCAAAAAAAAACAACATTTGCGACCAAATCATGTGCTCGTGCGATTAACTGAGAAAGTTAGTCGCAAAAGAGCGAGCAGTGGGAAGAATGAGTCTGGAGCCCTGAAGTAGATTACTGGATGACAAGAATGAAATCATGAAGCCAGTGAAGATGTGTGTTTGTCTACATACTCATTTAACAAACACTTTTATTCAAAGTGATTTACAAATAAAGAACACAACAAGCGATTCATCTTAAGGAGCCAAAAACAAGAGCAGTGCTAGTAATCAGGGTTGCCAGGTCTGCATAACAAAACCAACCCAATTGTTACTCAAAACTAGTCCAGTCTCAAACTGGATATCAAAATCACATTCTGGAGATTCCACCTTGGTTGAAGTCATGTACCGGAGGATAGGGCGAGGGCTTTCGCTTCAACCCACATCAACAGTATACAGTACGGGAAAGGCGTGGACTTGGCAACACTGCTAGTAATACAGACGTTTTTTTAAAGAGGCAGCGGTGGAGTGCTCACGAGTTTTCAGCTGTCTTGAATGGATTCTGCATTCCTTACAAGGTTAGGAAGATCATTCCACCAGCAAGGAACAGCGAATGAAAACGTTCTGGAAAGTGATGTTGTGCCTCTCTGTGATGGTGCCACACGGCGTCGCTCACTCTCTGACCGCAGGCTTCTGGACGGAGTGTAGACTCATAAGAGTAGAACATGATGGAAGTCCAGTCAGAAGAGTGTGCAGTAGTCCAGTCTAGAAATGACAAGGTCCTGGACGAGACGTTGCACAGTTTACTGAGTTAAGAGGAGCCAGACCTACCTGATGAGATGCAGTGCTGGTTCTGCTTGATCTGTTTGGGATTATTGTTGATGACTGTAGCTGGATAGTGAATTGTACTGTACTGTCAGAGTAGCCGTGAAGACGAGAAGCTCTGTCTTCGCTAGACTGTATTTGCCGCTACGCTGGAATCGACACACACACACACACACACACACACAGGCATGCTTTATCAGAAACACTGAGACAGGCCGACCCATGAGGTCTGATGTCTGACAATCTTCTCATTAGAAACAGCATCTGCTCTTCCTCCGTTTGTACCATTAATAGAAACGTGAGCTCCATAAAACGGCTGGACACACTGCCAGAGAGAGAGAGAGAGATCGCTAGCAGTGTTTGTTCTGCTGTATGTCAGGCCGATATGAGTCAGACCTGCAGGCATTAGCAGCCTGGACATGACGTGAGTGATGTCATCAATCCCATCATGCACTGCTCACTTCACATTCCCTTGGTTCCTGAAGAGCTCACTGTACTGGAGTGATCACATGACCACACAATGCTTCACTGGCGCTGCATCATTCGTTTATTAATAGCATTCGGTGTATGTTTGCATTTATGATCATGTGATCAATCTTGTGTTTAGACAGGTGTGTGTGATTTTACTTGAGTACTTGAGTCAAAACGCTCACCGTCTGCCTCTCTCCGTCTCTGTCTCTCATGATATCTTTACATAGTGGGTATTTTTGTCCTGAAAATGTTCCCTCTTGTTGTTGACCTTTTAGAGTTTGTTGTTGTCGTTTATCTGTGTGTTTGTGGTTGGGAGTGACTCTACAGCTCATGTCATTCACACACATGATGATGCAGTATGATTTCTAGTAGGGATGAACGATAAACTACGATAAAAGTCACGATTGTTAGTATTACTGTTTCATATTTTAATTGTCATTAAAACCATATTTGATTTTCTCGATTAAAAAATTCTCAGCATTAAGCAAAGTTAGTAAGAGTCTCACACAGTCGCAACATGCAGCGTAGGTTTGTTTTGTGTGAAACATGACGGAAAGCAGAGTGCTGAGAGAATGGATGAATGAATGTATGAATTCTGTGAATGCATCACGGGAACCGACTGTCTACAGAAGCTTTAATGGTATTTGCTTTCATCTTCCCTCTCTGTGTGATGCCTAATATAGCCGTGTTTATGAGCGCAGCGCTGCTTTGTTTACCAGGGAAACAGCCATATTCCTGCTGTTCCATCAGCGCCACCTGCTGTCAGACAGTGGAGTTACATTCTCATTCATTCTGTCTACTGTTTGTCTTCAGACCAATGCAAAAATGGGAACTAATTATTGTTGTAAATCTTTACCTGTAGATGAAAAACAAGCAAATGTCTCAGCACTTCGGATAATAATTTTGCG